TCTTCTTCTTCCTCTTCCAAGTCCACCTTCTCTTCTCACCCTCTCGCCACCTGACTTCTCAGACTACGACAGAGAGAGACAGAGTTGTGACTTGAGACTTGACGACATTGGATCCAGACTTGACATTGGGATTCAGACATTCCGACGAGGGACTATTTGGGCTTGTGCCGAAGACTTGGTGTTGACGACATTCCCATCTTCCCCCTCCTCTTCGTCTATTCCCTTCCTCTTCGTCTGTGTATGGTATGGGCTGGCGCAGTCTTCCTGTGTGAAGCACCAGGCCCATTTCACACCATGTAACGATGATGATGATGATGTATGTTCAGGACTGCATTACAACATTGATTGTTCGGATCACTGGTATCTAATTCTTCCATTGTGCTATCTTATACTTTGTATTGAAAGGCCGGTTCTTGTTCTGGTCTGCACGTTACAGTATGCAACAGATGCTGGCCAATTATGCTTGTGCTGTGCACAATGAGGAACAGTTCACTTGCCCAGGAAAAAAAAAGAAAAAAAAAGGAGAGATATCACTTGTTATGATGCTGGCCAATTTCGAAGTACACATTCGTCAGAAAGTACAATGCCTTCCAATTGCAAAAAGAAATGAATGAACTTGAGAGAGGACAGAGGTTAAGAAGAAGAAGAAGAAGAAGAAGAAGAAGATGTACACCAGCATAGAACAATGATAATGCTCTTCGTCTTCGCCAACCACCCTCCTCCTCCTTATCTCCTCCTCTTATATTCACACAAGAAATAATAATAACAATGTTGAATAGCTGAACCAGAATCAATGTCCGAATCCCTCTTCTACTGCAGGTGTAATGAACCTCAAAGCTCACCACACGGAGTGCTCACACCAATATACATGTCACACATATTGTCTTGTCACACACGTGTACAAAGAGAAGATGAGAGGTAGACCAGAAAAACAAAGCTCAATTATCACAACCCAATTATAGTGAGAGAATCATGAGTTCCACTGTCCAGCGCTCAACAAGATTATAAGTCGTCTTCAATCATCAAGAGTCTCATCAACTGCACTCATCAGCGCTCGTCATCCAACCCAAGTTTAGCGCTCTTCAGGTAAGTAGTCACCATGTCTCACTCTCTCTCTCCCTTATCTATCTCTTCTGGTCTTCTCTCGCCACACATTCTTCTTCCTCTCTCACATGCGCACTCCCTACTGCTAACAGACATGAGGATAAACTCTAAATACTACTCACTGTTCTACTACTATTAACTACTAACTATACTGTTTCCTAGTGCTGGCGCAGCTATGGCTGCCTTCTTCCCTGCCAGCATCGTCGTCCTCTCTCTCATCTTACTCAGCACTGCTCTCTGGCTTAGCGCAGCTCCCACACTAGCGCACAAGTGCACAAGCACTTCCACACTCTCGTGCGAATGAGCGTCCGCCCGAATGGTAGGCTGGCCAGTCCTTTTGTAGTCTTGGATGCACTCCACCTCGTGCCAGCCTCTGTTTCTTGGGGCTTGACTGGTTCCGGTACCACATCCCCACGGCCTGCCTGCTTTTGAATGGTAAGGCCTGGAACCTTCCCGAATTTCCTTTGGTCTGCTGCTGCTTGGGCCTTTGAGTCGTGACTTTTCACTTGTAGACATGACTTTTGACTGTGGACTGTGACTTTTCCCTCTGAATCATGACTTTTGCCTGTGGAACAGTCCTTATTCCTGAAATGTGACCCTTCAGCATGACTTTTCATTATGAAACGTGACTCCTGTTTTTGAGACATGACTCTTGCTTATGAAGCTGCCTTTTCCCTCGTGGAATGTGACTGTTCACTGAGTACCTATTGGACTAGACTGCTAAGGTACCCGATTGTGACTTTTCCAAGTTTGACAGACTCGGCCTTTTCTCGACCTGGGCATCTGACCTTGAGATCCGAATTTAGGGTTTGAATCGTGGACGCTCTTTCACTCTCGCCGGCCCAATTTCAAAGTCCTCTGAGAAACATATATTTTTATCTATCCAGTATGTTTATTCCTCTTCTTGCTCTTTCATGGTAGGATGCAATATTGGGTGCTGTTCGAATTAAGTCCTCCCTTGTAAACCAGCGATCTTCTGTTGGTTCCTGGTATGCAAATCTTACTTTGTATTGCCGCTGGGGTCGGCCTCTGTGTCCAGTTCTGAAGGTGTTTTCAGCAACTATTTTGTCTCCATCGTATCTCCCATCCATATCTGGTGGTATTGCAGACCTTCAACTGGGAAATAGTTCATTAGTGACACAAGGTAATAGCTTTGATGCATGGAACACCGGATATGTATGCAAATGAGGAGGGATCTCTATGACATAGGATGGTCCATCCACTCCTCCTATTACATCCAATACTTGCCAAGGTCCTCTGTAGGTTGGTAGTAACTTCCGAGAAATATTCTTCTCAGGGACAAATTCCTTTGATTTAACCCATACCAGATCTCCTACAGCAAATTGAGAGGGTCTTTGATGTTTATTTGCCTGTTCTATCATGTTGAAATCAGTCTTGCAAATCCACACTCAAACATG